AAATATCAGTCCATTTGAGATAATTGTGCATGAGAAAAAATAAAGTTGTGGCTGAGAATCAAAGTTCTTTCCCAGAAACAGAGCCCAAAATACTCTAAATCAAATGTGATGGGAAAACAAAAAAGCAGATGAAGGGCTGAGCTCTTAAATGACTTCTTTACATTTCAGTTGCCATTACTGACCTAGTCACTGTTTGTGCTGGCTTAGAAACTAATGTCGAGTGAACAACTCCAGAATAGATGATGCTCTACGTTACTCTGGGCAGGAGTTACAACATTATCCAATGATCAGTATTAAAACAGAGTTAGAGTGACTTTATATGTGTTTTCCTGCTAAGCAATCAAAATGTAATGAATGAATGAAGCTCAACAGTAATCCAAGTACTGTTAAGCGTGTGTCCTTAAACTAGTTTTGCAAATTGGGACAGAGAGCTATAATTGACCTTGCTGAAATAGCCTTTATTTTCCACAGTTCATGACCAAAGTAGTTAAGTTAGACTGAGTAACTCTTCTAATTCACGACACCTGAATAAACGGCAGGAAAACCAGCCTGGAATGCACATTCCACTATCTAGCCATCCTGCAGCATAGGCTGAATAAATTCCTTCCCCTTGTCTTTACACTGAAATGAACCCTAGTGATTAAAAAATGCCTCTGGACTGAAAAGTGCATCACACTGATAACAGGCTTGTTTGGAGATTTGCGCTGTGCCTTAGCATGGCCTGGAATAGTTGTAACTTTGCCTTTCTTTAGGGTCTGTTTCCCTATCTGTTTTTCACTTAAAATATTCCCTGGCTGTTCCAAAGCATATTAAGCTGAAAGTTATCAGACTCCATACAAAAGAAAATGAAAAAGTAAGTCTGAACTGGCCAACACAAGCTTTTAACAAACAGAGTGGTATATAGAAATAAAAGGATTAAAAAAACCCCAAACCCAAACCCAAAAAACAAAACCCCTGTAGACAGTTTCCAGAGTTGCTTTGGATTTGATCATCTCTCTTTCCTCCTCTGGTTCAATAATTTTCAACTGAAAATGTTTGGCTTCTCTGGCTTAGGCTACTGCCTTTCTGCAGTTTACAGAAATAAAAAAAGGTCTTCGATGCATCCAAGTGTTTTAAGCTAAAAACAGTGACTTTTCACAGCACTGAGCCACGAGCTGAGGATCAAACCTGGGGCTGCAGTCCCTCTTGGTACAGGTCTGTCCTGCCAGGCTCTGCAGCCACATAGGCACACTCAAAACCTGCAGCGGGGAACGAAGGTCGAGTCAGCCAGCAAAGAGGGGCCCCATTCCCCCTCCTCTTCTAGAATAGCTGCCAGAGAGTTGCTCAACATCGGATCAGGGTGGGGACTGCTGTTAACATATATGTTCCAGGCCCTCCACCCGCTCCTCTTTTTCCCAGCCCTACCACAGTGATATGAGAGCTCAGGAGTCTGTGAGCCAAGCTAGGAAAGACATTGTAATTAAGGATAGGTTTGACTGCTTTAAAAATGGAGCATCCTGCTGAGCAGTCAGTTAACAGAGAGGGGAGGAAACAGGTCCAAGGCTTGGGTCCTTCTTGAAGACATAGTTATAAGTGATGTCAATATTATTTATGTATTCATGTATATGTTCTTTCAATAGACGTTTCATGGTATCCATTATGGATACAGATGTTACAAGCTTCCATTATTAATTTTTATGAGCATATGACTTTCCAAAACCCCAATCCTTTGTGTTCAAATGTCATTTTGTTCTGCTTTACAGTCTTTTACGGGGAAAGTTTTAATAAAACCTTCTTACTGGTTGTTTCAGTTAAAAGATAGGAAAGTACGCAGTTTTCTGTCAGTAAAACTGATTATATACTTCTGAGCAAAATGTGCACAAAAAGCAGCTCACCCAATAGTAACACCCCACCTCAGCATGGACCACATCCTTACGACGTCTAGCATTTATGCTTGGTTTTATGGGTAAGGTTTTTAAACAGTTTAAATAATTTTGTCATGTACTGGAAAGCATCTTCTAGTGTGTGTGTACCACTGCCCTCTGCTGTACAGAGGTGATACAGAGCTTGGCTGCTTTCATGGCGGTGAAGGTGTGGTATTCTTACTTCGAGCAAGTGCTCAGGTCCTCCTGACTTCATATGGGAGCTAGAGCTATGAAAGGAGTTAAATCTTCATCTCCATGGGAGTTAAGCATCATAATACCTGTGAAGATCTATCTGTTTCTGTCTTCTGCCAGTAGAAAATCCAATGTGTAAAGAGTGCGCAAGTATGGTGTCCACCGCAACACCCCTGAGTTGTTGTTTCATGGGTTCCACATCTCAAAATATCTAGGAGATTCACTGCAAGCAGGTTATTTTTCTATTGAGCATTGACATAAAGCATCTCTGGCCTTATGTTCTCTCCTGTTGTATACTTCTGGCATATAACAGGCTGACACCCTCAAGGTTGAAAGGGTTTTGCCTAATCCAAGGTTTTGGGCTAAAATATAAGGCTTAGCAGGATAAATGTCCTGGGTTAAATACAGGGATAAATGTAAGCTTGCCAGTAATAGCTGTATTATCCATTCTGGACATCAGTGCTAGGAAACTATGAAAATCAGGTAAAATCTCCAAAAATGTTTAGGATCACAGTCACTCACACTGCCACAACCTCCTGTCAGGAGGATAGCTCTGTTTACTATACAGAGCAGGGAGTTTAACTCATCCAGAGCTGCTGTCTATCATCTAAAGCTGCTGCACTCCTAAAGGATTTATTGAGACAATTAAGATAATACATTCATGTATCTCAGTCTATGGATTTGTACCTTTTCACACTGTCTTTTTTCCATTAAAGCCAGGTTTCATGTACTTCTATCTCTCAGTTTAATAATAGTGAACATCAAATCTGATCAGTAACTTACTCCTTTTTCAAAGGAGTAAGTCTGCTACCAGTGAGATTGGTATGGATTTTGCCAGTTGGAACAGGCCAATATCCAGTGCTTTTGAATTATAGTTGGGTGGTTGTCTTTGCTGTATTTCACAAATAAAGAACTTTTCTCTCTAAAAAAGAGGCCTGTTTAACTGCACATCAGATTCCAAGGGTCAGCCTTATAGTTTTGGACACTTAAACTTGATCACACCCCGGAAACAGTTCTGTAGCCTCGTTTCTGCTGAAGGAGGGGAACGAGGAGGAAATTACTGCCTTTGTTTGTTTCCATCTCTGACTTCTCTAAGCTTATCTGTTTGAGGCTGTTTAAACAATGTGTGAACCATCTCATATGGATTAAGTATATACATTAAGTATATATACATGAAATCTCACATCATTTAGAGGTAGGGCATAATTTCAAGTTTTTATCTTAACTGGTACGCAAATGAGGTAGGCTAAACCCTAAATCTTAAATTGTGATTTTTTTCTGGTTATAAATATATATATATTATTTGTATGGGCTGACAGACAAAGATTTCTTTATCAAGTATATGCCATTTGCAAGCAGAATGTTGTCTCCATTCTAGTCACCAGCCACAGGAGCTCAGCTGGGGCCCTGAGATTCAAGCTGAGAGCTTTTCTTTCACCATAATAGAGGTCCTGTAGGCTAAACTACTGGTAGTCCTTTAGTGACACTTCTGAAATCCCTTTGATAGGTTTACACAAATGCAAAGATTGATGCTTAGCAATGCTGTTGATGGTATACAACGATGACAGTTCTTGAATCATGCTCACCCTGCATTGTCTTCTGTGTGTTTGCATGTGTAAGTGTATATATATGGATATGTGCATGAATATACATAGATATATGAAGTGTAAGGATATATGTAGTGTACACATCTGAGTTTCACACATACTTGTGCATGTATTTAATATTAATCGGGGACTTGAAATAATACTGAAAGCTTATTCTGCAGTTCCTGTGGCTGTGGTATGTCACCCAATCATAAGCACTAATTTTATCAAAGAGAAATTACAAAAATGAACTGATGCTAGTTCTCAAATACAGTCCCTGTTTGTTTAGCTTTTATTTACTTCACTTTGAAATAATACACCAATCTTTCCACTTTTTAAAAACTTCATTTCTAGACTGTGGAATCCAAGTAGATAGCCTAGCCAATACTTCCTTTTCCTCAGTTGGATACACTGGGATGAGATGGCAGATTGTGTTTTCAGGAGACGAGAAGCTTGCTGGCAAACTTTCCTAGGTTATCATCACATGTCAAAGATGATGTCTGTATAGAACATTGATTTCCTAACAATGCAGCTTCCTTGGAAGGAAAATTTTCTTTTCTTTACTTCACTCATTTTGAATGAAAGGAGAAGTCCATGGGGAAGGAGTCAGTCTTTAAGAAAAATTCTTGGTCTTACTATTACTATATTCCTCTACCCCTCCAAAAAAGAAGGTGTGATAATTAATTGCCAGCCAAGTGGCACAATTAATGTTGTGCAAATGCAACATCCTCTGGGTAAAGTGATATTGCTAAATTATAGTGTGGCCAGTTCTGTGTTTAAATACCAATCCAGACAGCCACATGCACACACTCACATGTGTGCTGAGAGGGTGTGCTCTATTCCTTTTTTTTTTCCCAGATGTGATACTTCAAGTTTTCTTTCCTTCCTAGAGAATTCAAAGTAATTTTTAAAGGTCTTAATTTCTGTGCAATAGAGCTCATGGGCAAACACTCAATAAATGAAAAATAAGGGATGCAGTCATGGCTCTGAAAGCATTTCACATTCTTCAAAATGATGCCAGTTGTATGCATTGACAGTAATCCTGTCTAATCCCCTCCACATGTATTATCTTTGTGCACCTGCTTTCATTGTCTCACTTATCAGTTTTTTATACTTAGAACCACAATATACAAGACGGTAAAGCAATAGAACAAAATACTCATGCACACACAGTGTGTTGTGCTACAATTCTGCATTGTAGGTAGAGAACATGTTTGTGGATTTTCATGTTTGGAGTCAACATCTTCCATTAAGATGGTTTTCCTACTTCTTTCTTTTCCCCCCACTGCTGCATGTCTGTGTTTGTCTTTCTTGGCAGATTAACTGAAGTACATCGAACAGCTGTAAAAGTCATCAGGAGAATGCAGTATTTTGTAGCCAGAAGAAAATTTCAGGTAAGCAGCACCATTAACCTTAAGTACAGTATGTGACATTGAAAATGCTCTGAGTGAACTTGTCTTTGTGCAGCAGTTATAAGTCAAAGGTGCTGTTTAGGCTCTCAGCCTCATACTTACCTTCTGAGGATTTTTTCATAGTGTGGGCAAAACTATCAACTACCCATGGGTGCAGTATGATACAAAAGCCTTCTGAATTTGTGGAGTCAGCATAGTTATTTTTCACTTCTCTTTTTTGCTGCATTTGGTTTGTTGTCTTTCGGTTTGTTTGGGTTTTTTTTCCTGTACTAACTAATGTATAAAGTACTTACTCGTCTACTAGAAGAAATGAAGAAAAGACTCTTTCGGAGCATCTGCTAAAATACTGTCTATACTGATAATCTAATGACTGGTTAGAGAATGTTCAACTGATTGCGAGCTATGTATGACTGACAGATCAATACCTTATTGATGAGTACTATGCTGTGTAAAGTTGCTTTCACATTTGTGGCCCACATTTCCACATTTGTTTCCAAGGATTGGACATCATAGAGAGGCCTTATTTTATAAAATTGTGGAGCATCTGCCCCCTGTAAATTTGCTGTCTTTATGAAGTCTGAAGTTAGCTTTCTCAGTCAGGTTTCAAAGTGCTTAAACTAACTGTGTTGAATTGGAAAAACTGTCTTATTTTGCCTGTTTACTAAGGCCCATTATGGTAAAACTTTTTTGGAATGTGATTCTGGTATCATCATTCTAATCACCATGTGCTGGTGGTGCCTTGGAAATGAATAATTAACTTCTGTCCTGTTTTCAAAAGCTCCTGTTATTTCCATCTGAATGTTCATGCTTTTTTGTCCAAAAGGGTCCACTGCAAGTTAATCGACTTTCACAATCCTTTTTAAAAAGGTTTTAAAAGTATAAAGCAAGAACCTAGATTTCAAGCGTATTTGATTAGAGCTGATCACTTAATTGCAAGGGATAGAAGTCTGAGATAAGTTCACAGCACTCAGAAGACTGAATTAGGGCTGACATATTTCCCAAGCCCAGGCAGAAATGTATCTTCAGATGACCTTACCTTATGAAAGAAAAGTCACATTGTTTAACTCAGCAAACAGGAAAGCAGAATTATATTGTAAATACACCAGAGAGAGAAACACTAGGGAAAATTAAAAAAAAGAAAAAAAAAAAAAAAAGAAGATAAGAGAAGAAAAGACAACAGAGAAAAGAAGCAAAACCTTCCCTGGAAAATAAAATCAGTATATAAAAGAGTTAGGATAAAAATTAAGATATTTCAAACCACCACGGACCTAGTGTTCTGGAGCTCTCAGACAATGGCAGTCATGCGAAACCTTAAAAACTGGACTTGATCAGTCTATGGATAGGATTCTGGGTTTTTTTTTTTCTTTCTTGCAGTTGTGAAATGCAGCTTGTGGGACTCCCCATGATAATTAGACTGTGGAAGTTCAAAGCCAGGTAATTCTATTTTGAGTTTTGCGTTAGGAGCTCTAAGTACACTGGATGTAGAATGCTGAGCCCAAATGGCCAGGATTTGGGATTATGGACAGAATGGACAGAATGAAAGTTAATGGAGTTCTTCAAATTCTGCATTTACCAAGCCTCCCTGGAAGCCCATTATCTCCCGCCTTAAGTTGTATTGTGCTAGCATTTCCTTATAAAAACATGACAAGAGATTGTGGCAAAGTTTGGCAGGACATAAGATGCTCAGATCTAAAGCTTTATGAGAAAAGAGGAGAGAAAAGTTGAAAGGATATTTTTACTTTACAGAGGGCTCAGGCAGACTGCAGTGTACAGTAGTTTGCAAGTGCAGGATTCAGAGCTGATGGTTTGATAAAAGGGATAACAGATAGAGGACTTCTTTTGAGGGAGAAAATAAATTTCATTGAGAATGAGTAGAATTAGTTATGCACATAGTAGGTCATGGGGGAGAAGGGAAGGAGGTGGGGGAAAATCCCCAGCACATCTAGGCTCTGCGCCACGCATCGTGTTGAATAGAGTGTCCAAAGGAAAGGACAGAGGATTTAGCCAAAATGCTCTCAAAGCACCCCCCGCTAGTCAATCTAAAGAGTGATACTGGCACTGTTTCTCTGGGTGAAGACAATAGGCTGCTTTTCTGGCCAGAAATAGTGATGTGTCAGCGTCTGCAAAATGGGAAGCTGGGGAAGGCAAAAAAAAAAAAAAAAGGAGAGAATAAAAAAACCCCAATAAACTGAAAGCTGAAACCTCCCTGAAACTGCCCTCCCCCCAAAGTATCTCTTCTCACAAATGCACATGAATGCACACTACCAAAGCCACAAACCCTTCTGAAAGTAATAACGCAGGTAAGTGCTGATGGCTGAGCACAAGGAAGGCATTTTATCACGAAGAGCTTTTGCTTCTTCATTCATTTCACAGGATTTGTTTCCATTCCAGTTCCATGCTTTCATCTGAAATTTCTAGGATCCTGTGGCTGCCTTCCAAGCATGACTCCAGCACATACTGTAGGTGTTCAATGCATGTGTGCAGTGGTGCATGCTAATGGCTCTAGCTGAAGCTGTGACAGAGTGGAAACAGACAACAAGATGACTAATGAGCTGTTTTCAGTAATTTCCAATTACTAGCTTTGCAGTTTACCTTTCTTTTTTTTTTTCTTCTTTTCTTGAGTCAGAGCCAAAAAGGAGACATCTTGCCCCACATTTCCCATAGGGGTAGTTATGTCTCTCAAAATGCTGGTATTTTAGCTAGGAAATCATTTGCATTTATTCCACCACACCCACACATTAATTTTACTTGATAAAATTTTTCCATGCTGTATTTTTTATAATCACATCACTTTATGCAGACTCTCTAGGTTTGTTTCAGAATTCTGCCTTAGTAGTTATAGCAAGAAAGCAGAGCTTGGCCGAAGCATCTGGATTCTCATTAGAATGGGTATAAAGCTGGGCAGATGGCAGTTGTTTAGCTCTCTTGCATTTTTTATCTGTCCATTTTAATTTATTCGAATTGCACCTTTTTTTCTGACCTTGTAGGTATCATTAAAGCCAAAGAAGCACAAAGACTACGTGCAGACTTATGCAAAGCATCTGTCCTCCCAGCAATAATATTTCTGTCACCAGACATCTTTAGTCTTTAAGGCATTTGATTCTGGGTCCAAGTTTTATGAATTGGGCCTATCTCTGTGGTTCAGTCCTCTGACATTATGATTAACATATGGGTTTGGAATGAGCCAAGAGATATCACACATGATAGTTTTAGATCCATTATATATCTTGGGATTGTGTTTTTTTAAATACACTGCAAAGGTCTAATATTTTGCTCAGTATGAAGTAACATGAAGACATGACTGTAACTGACAGTAATGGGAATCATTTGGCTCCATCTCCACAATAAATATGCACTCCTACAATGCCTACATATTTTTCATTCATTGCAACAACCATTGCAAAATGGCAAGCACATAACCTCTGGAAGACAAAAAATAGAATGAAGGCCTACCTGAAATAAAAGTCAAGTTTAAACTGTACTTACCTTTCAGTCTCATGTATGACTCCTTTCACAGCAAGCTCGGAAACCATATGACGTACGCGATGTGATTGAACAGTACTCACAAGGACACCTCAATATGATGGTTCGGATAAAAGAACTTCAAAGAAGGTAGGTCCTGTCTGCCTCATGAAATATTGATTTCTCTAGTGCCAGCTGGCTTTAGGAGAGATGTGTACTTAACGAACAGTAATTGTCCAAAATTGCAAGCACAACAGGGAGCACAGTATCTAGAGGATTTAACTTAGAGTCATTTTTAACCCTTTTTATAACCACATTTAGAATTCTCCTTTATCTCCCTCTATTTCTTCAAGTGAAATTTAAAAAAATTAAGGTGCATGCTGTGAAGTTTTTAGTATGAAGTGAGCTTTTCTGCCCTTTTCTTAGAATGCAAAAACTTTTCAAATAGGATTTACCTTTCTGTCCCCTGTCTGTGGTTCTCCACAATCGAGAGAAAACTGGTTTGCTTCTGTTTCCCTCTCTATCTGGAACATTTCCCTTCCACATCCTTCCACACACATGCTTCTCGGAGTTTGGGGATCACAGCTGAAATATTTTGCCACAAAACTGTTCTCTTTCAGCACAAAGTGCTTTTCTCTTTACAAATTAACACTGCGGACTGGGACACCAGGCTGAACTCTTCTGGCCCTTAAATGAAATGAAAAAAAGAAAAAAAAAATCCTATTGAATGGAATCTACTGTGTCAACATATATAGATATTAAATCTGCCTGCATGAGATTCAAGGAATAGTTGCAAATATTATTAAAAAGCCATACTGTTTGTATAGTCTTTGTTATTAGATTACATATGACACAGGAGAACTATGTTTTAGTCACAACATGAAAGTCTAAGGAATATTAGTACTCATGAAAATAACAATAATATGGTTTGATTTTGGGAAAAAACTCTGAAGAACTAAACTGCTGACTGTGTGTGCAGAAAATCATGGTAGTCTCATGTTTTTACTTGCTTTATTTTAGGTTTAAAGCTACTGTAAATTCTCATGTAAATTATGCTCCTATGCTTTCACTAGCAACAAAGTTTAAGTTGCTTGGTAATTGCACTGCTGGTAATGCTCTGTTTGCTTTTCAGATTGGACCATTCCTTGGGAAAGCCGGGCCTTTTCCTCTCAGGTATAGTGACTGCATCTTACAAATAATTGCTAGCTTCATAACTTTGTGAAAATACCCAGGGCTACAGTAATATGGATTTATAATCCAGCCAATGCATGAATGCATAATTCTGTTAATAAGCCCTGGGATGACTGTGAAAAGATAAATTCTTTGCATTCAGGTGGTGGTAGTGGAGGAAGTGGAAATTAAGAATAAATGTTAAAAATGTGTATCAGTGCATGATGAACTGGAAACATATAGCTGGAAATTTTTCCACAAAAATATTCTTTCTAAATTTTTTGTGCTTTGTGAGCAACCTATGGATTTCAGCTTTAGAAAGCTCAAAGGAAGATCAAGGTGTCATTCAAGAAGAACTGGCGTAGCTTTGAAAGCTAGATTGATAGAAATGGTATGAACTTAAATCATAAAAAATGCAAGATCAGGCACAAGTAAACTAGTAACTAAAATCCCCTACATGCTAATAGTGGTGAACAGTCTGTCATGTCTCGTGGACAGTGGTGAACAGGCGTGGTTTGCTAATTAATTGTAAGCAAATGCTATCTGTATGTAAGAAAATACCATGATATATTCATGAAAAAATTACTCTGATCCCAGGATCAGGAGAGAGATTTTCAAGACATACAATGAAGTGTAATGTCTTCACATGACTTAGATAAAGCCTATGTGGCATGTCGTGCAAAATTTGATTCCACGTCTTTAGGAAAGACTAGCTACAACAAAAATAGGGAAGAAATACTAGGATAGCTAGGGAAAAGGAGAATCTATTCTGTTAGTGAGAAACACAAATACAGCCTCAGACGGTTAAGTGAAAACAAAAAGTTTTATCATTCATTATCATTTTATTATCAGAAAATCTTGCTTTGATTTGATTGCCACTGGCTTCCAGAGGTAAGATAAGTTGGCTCATCTTTGTAATTCATGATGGATAGTCTTACTGTGGAGAGCATCACAGGACTTCAGAGATATTTGAGAAAACCAGTGCTCTGGAGAACATTATGGCATCCATGTCCATGCAACTAGCTTCCCTTGTTAGTCTTGCAAAATTACTGCTGAAGAGTGGCTTTGAGATGGCTGTCTTAGATGCAAAAGCATGGTGGCACCACTAAGAACGATGTCTGCCTCCAGAGCATGCCAACTATATAAAGTCATACCTTTTGCAAAGACATATAGCTTTGCCCTCAAATGGACTGAATAAATACTGACTGGGAAAAGTAAAATGGTTTTAGGGATGCAAAACCTGGTAAGCTCCGTTATGGGTTTGCAAGACCAAAACCAAAAGTTATCTGATCTAGTAGTTATTTTATCTAAACCCTGCACAAATCCAAAAATAAGATAAGTGGTTCCAGATAAGTGGTCTGCAGAACTAAACCAAGGGTTGGTTTATGATCAGGCCAAGTATTACCCAACCTGCCAATAATCAAGTGATGAACAGCAATGAGTGGTTATAGTATTGGTCTGTTCTGGGTGGAAACAGACACTTGCACTGTCCTCCTCTGGAAAAAGAGTTCTTCATGAGTTTTCCTCAGAATGGATGGTTTATTCTAATTGAAAATGTATCTTCTATATAATATTTTTCCAGTTCAAAGGCACTGCTAAAAACCTCATTCATAAACAATATGGGTGTTTCCTCCGGACTGTGTTATTTTTGTGTTGATGGCAAGCAAAAGAGAAATGACAATGCAATGAAAATTGCCAAGGAGAAAAACATGAAAAGAATTTTCCTTTCCAGCTCCTTCTTTTTCCTGTTTTATTATACTCCCATTCAAAGAATCTTAAGTTCTGGTTCTGAGCCTGTTGAAATGAATGGGAGTCTTTCCAGTGACCTCAGTGGGTTTTGGATCAGGCTGTTACTGAAACCCTGTTGTCAACTTTGATAATTTTATATGAAGTAATTGCAGCGTGTCTATAGTATTGTTACCTTTCAAAAGTGAATGATGTCATAAAAGATCCAGAATCTGAACTCACTGGAAGCAATTACTGTTATTTTTCAAGTTAGTTTCTCAAAGATAAAAAGCACTAAAAGCTGTGTTAAAACAAGATAAGGATACAATAACAGAATAAAAGCCGTGCTGGGTCAGATCAGTCCTGACTCTGGCGGAGCCAAAAGCAAGGTGCTTTAGGAAATGTATAAAAAAAAGGGCATGCATAAGCCTCTAACCTTCCTGTAAGCTTTCAGCCATTTGCAGATCAGAGACTTCCTGACATAGTTGCTGTGTATTTAGTAGTCCTAATAGTTTCTCCTCAACAAACTCGCCAAGTTTTGCCTGTAAACTTTTCACATCTGCAGTATTTCGTGACAAACATTTGTATGATTTAAGTTCTACGTACACATGTTGTGAGGATTCCTCCCATTATGCTTGTTTTAGTCTTGATATCTGCTAGCTTTCTTTGAAACTTGTACTACCAGGACTGTGCAAAAACACCAGGATAATGAATAAATTTTCCACATATTTAAATTCCATTTTTATGAATATACCCAAAACACAATGTCTTAGTTTCAAGAAAAGCCCATCTCCGCGTTCCAGGTATCACAATTCTGTAAGATGAAACAAAGATTCCTGTAATAGTAAACAAACCCCTTAATAATTGAAAGTGTTTATATAGAGGCAAAGCACATGTTAATAAAATTTATTGAATCAACAAAGCAGACACTTAGGTAATGACACAAATAAGGAGAGTGTGATACTTGACCTTCATTACACATGATAGAGTTAATTGCTTTTGAATGCAATTTTTGAAACTTACTATAGCTTTTCAGGGGCAAAGGTGAAGAATAATGCCAAGGTAAAACAAAAGATCCAGTGTTCGGGTTCAGAAAAGTATGCAAAAGGCTGATGTTAATCTGCAGTTCATCTGAACCTCTTAGGTCTGCATAACACAGGTGGGAATCCCTGGAGAAAAAGGCTTTCTTGTAAAATTTTGACAATTCCGTTGTTTGCTTTTTTTTCCATTAAATGCCACCTAAGCTTTCTGACGCTATTTCCTTCCCAGCTGTCAAGAAGAAATTGGTTCACAGTATCTTTTAAAGCATAATAAATATCCTTAGTTTAGTTTTTAATATTTTTAAGTCAATATTTGAAATGAGAGATACCCATATTTCTGCAGGAACAGATGTATTCCACACCTCCTGGAGATAAAATCCATGGGAACTTGGTAAAAAATAAACCCACTTAGGATACTTTTTGTAGCTGCCAGGTGTTCACAATCTTGTCTCTGAAAGTTCATTGCATTGCTGGGGTTGATCTACCTCAGTGCAAAGAGAGAGCAGGAATACCACATATATCCTACTTCAATGACTTGGAATCTGCAGCTAATTTACTGTTCATCCAGATCCTCTGAACAGTTTGAATTACATTCTTAATAACAAGCTAATAAAGAAGCTTGCATTTAATTTTTAATTTGGTATATTAATTGTTTTATACATAGCATAAAGATAGTGTATCTAAAAGCTGCCATCAGCATCTTTTGGAGGAAAGGCAGAAGTGAGATGTAGTTCATACCAGATTCAGTGTATATGAATATACACTGAATATATATATATTCAATATATGAATATTGTTCCTTATGAGCCACATGAGCAAATCATGTCACCTCAGAGGCTAGATAAGTGAAGCAGGTAGGCATATGGACCTTTTATTTAGGGCTGGTTTATTTGCTGCATGTCTTTAACCTGGCAAGTTTGTCACTGCAGCTAGATTTTTGCAACTTGAAAAAACTAGGAATTCCTGCTTTCAGTGTATACTGTTTAAGCTTCATCACAGAACAGCTGGCTTTATCACAGAGTTTTCTGCATTGCAGTACAGTTTTCTAAATTAAAATATTTTGAATTTACTTTTATAATTTTCTTTAGGCTGTCCAAGGGAAGTCACAAGTGTCTGATCTAGGACTATGCTTTACCTCTTTTTCATTTCTTCTACATATCAGCTGTAAAAGGCTCTGGCTGATAAAAGACTCAAGCCAAAAGTCATGATGCCTACAGCAACTTTGTTATTTGCTGGTTTATGGATCTAGGGTTTAAAAAGCCAATCCTGACTTGTGTTTTCAGAAGCACACCTTGTTTATAGGCCTACAAATCTAGACCTTGCCATAAGATCGTCACAGTTTTCACTGCATAAAGCATTCAGAGAACTGGAACAAGTACAAATCTAGAAGGTTGTAGTTGCATTGAGTTAGACAAAAGAAGGTAATGGTATCTCCTGCTTTCTGTAGTCCCAGGACTGAACTTGCTGTAATTTGCTGAGATTTCAAGATTCTTTAGCAATCTGGAATACCCTAGGTGTCCCAATGCTCAAATTCTTCATTTTCTTCTTAAAAATCCTGAATGGCTTTCAGATAAATTTTAATTTTTTTGAGTTAGCACACCTCTAGCTGTATACACCAGAAAAGTAAAAATCAAGGAAGGACTCTTACTCTGTAAAAGCAGAATAGATGATTTCCAGCTTTTATCATTTTCAGACCATCTGTCTGTAATTCATTCACTGTCCTAATACTCCACATAAGTCTGTTTTCTAACCAAAGAAATAAATCTATTTTCTGAAAAGTTTGGTATATTCTGATGAGATGGAGAACACTAAATGAGTAAAAATATTAATATTGTGGTGCTGTCCCTCATTTGATTTGCTCTCTTACTCATTTCAGATGGCACTGGCTGATTTTTGTAAAAGCAAACAAACCTGAATAATGAGTAATGTGCCATTTATATCATGAACTTCCATTTGAGGAAAAAGTTGGGGATGGCCTTTCTTGTTTTCTGCACTGACGTGGGGAATACTTAGAAATTTTTATATTTTTTTCAAGAGGCATCTCTTGTTCACTAGAAAAAGAGATTGTCCATCTTTGTGAAAATATTAGGAAATAAATACAGGGTCATGTTGTTTTGAAAGTAGTGATCATATGTATATTCAGGAAGGCAAAGACTTTCAGTGGAGATATTTGTGCTTTAATAAGCATGAGAAATGGACTAGATGACCCAAGAACTATTCAATCGCCTGAAGTATAATGCCTATTGCTTATATACTAGTGTTTTATCTGATTAAAGTCTAAGTATATAAAGTGATAGTTTTGTATTATACCAACCATTTGATACAAGCTTGTTTCAGGATTTTTTTTTTTCTTCTGAGCTAAAATTTGTCTTTATGTATTTTCATCCAGTTATAAATAATTATGCCTCCTTTCATGATGATCATGCATGTTTTCTTTGTCTCCATGTCTTTCAGATAGATGTACATAGTTACGGGATTGCTTAGCTGGTCTATCTGTTTTATTGCAGACCAACACAAACAACAGACAAAACTCAATACTAAAAGAAAATTATTTTGGATTACAAAGCAAAAAATGTCAGACATTTCAGATTTATAGTTAACCATGTAATCTTCTCAACTATGTAAAAGCAAATAATCTAGTGTAGGAAGTCTACAATCATATATCTTGAAAAGACTCAAGAGAGAAAGCATAAACATGAGATAGAAATCAAATGTACTAGAGCAATATTATTTGAACTTCTGCCCACCCTCTCACCACAATGCTCTGCACATTGTATACACACCTCATTTACTTTTAAATATGGTCTTTATTAGAGGAAAAATGCTTGTAAATTAGAGCTGAATGCTGATTTAAATGGAGGCTAGTAAGAATGGGAAAGACCACAGCCTTTTGTGACTTATACAGCCTGCATGCCAGTAAAGAAGTGGACATGACACAGCTACATGCGTGTATATCATTCTCTTCACGTCATCTGATAGGAGTGCCACATGCCACAAAATAGCTTCTTACTGCTTATCTGCTTCCTATTTTCTTGTTTTCTGTTCCACACCACATTCAAGAATAACTAAAATAGGAAACATTATTAACTTGGTTTGGTTGTTTTGGGATGTCTTGTTCATTTTTTGAAGGATGTAATTAGAGCTATTGAGGAAATTATTCTTTTTTTTTTTAATAAGAAAAAAAATCTTATTGGAATATTTCTTCAGGTTTAGGGACTCTTTGATTTTAGACCTAAACAAAACCACTACCTACCCGCTGCTGTTCAGATCACATCCCAGTTTAGAAATCCTTAAAGGCATGTTTCTTCTGATGTGTACTTTGAAGATGATAAGTGTCTACAGATTTACTAACTAGAAAGTAGACTCTAAAGCCAATTATTTCATTTTGGGCAGAGATGAATACATAGATAAACTTGACCCTCAGCCACTTATACTTCAAGAGGTTTCTGTGGTTTTGAACTACTGAATGATGAACAGCACACATGTATGAGCCAAATGGTGTCATTTTTTTTGTCCCCACACAGTGTCCTTTAATAATCTTTGAATTTTCTCTCTTTAAAGCGTTTACTCCTGCAGATTCTCTGATGAAACACTTCTTTCTAATGCCTGTGCAGAGCTGCCAAGGTTGCCTGAACTGTTTAATGTTCTAGGTGGTCTGCAGAGGAGAAAGAAATCAAGAAGAGTACTCTTGTCAGTATTGTTTTTCGCTGAAGATTTCCTCTAAGGTCGTGGCACATACAGTGCAAGTTACCTTAGGATGAACTTTGGTGCAAATATATCACTCAATATGTCCCATTAGCAAACATATACACTGCTGATGGTAATGGTAAAGCAAGTACCATTCACAGAGAAATGCAAGAACATGAGTTCGCTGCAGAATGAGCACACATGCAGGCAGTTATGATGAACCCTGATGCACTATAGATTCACATCTCAGTCTGCCTTCCAGTTAAGCCCTTCACATTGTGCTCATGTCCTAAGCAAAATGGACATAAATAGTTTTAATAACCAAAGCTGAACCACTCATAAGAGTGAAATAATTTATGGAACAATTAAGGAGTAATGACTCCAGTCCTCTACTGGAAATGCAGTTTAGTACAGAAGAATGCGTCCAACTTCCATTGACATAGGCTTCTAAGTTACTTCAGTGCTGGGGGGGGGTGACTTTTCCTTGTGAATAATTTCTCCTTGCTCAGAATATATGTGGTTTTGTGCTTCATTCTCTGTGAAGTAACTCCCGCAATCTATGGCCTTCCTTTGTGATGGGGCACGTAAACATAAAGCATAAACTCCAATTTAGACGGGAGCTTTTTTTCAGTCTTAGCTCCCAGTCTCACCATTTGCAGTGTGTGAGTGAAACAAATTGTATAACTGACCTTTAATAACCAAGTCTCATGAAAACTAAGAGGGAAAATGGAGATGGAGATGTTAGGGCTTTTCCCAGTGTCACTCAATTGCAGCGAGGAGATAGATCTTTTCTACTCTAGCCCTTGAGCCCCTGGATAGCGCTGCCTCCTACATCTACAACCCCGGTTGAAAACTTGTTATTTATTTCTGTATAGAAAGTGTATGTTGCTCATTCAATGATATTCAAAATGGGGAGTGTGCCTAGGGAGCATGCCTATTTTACCTAACTATATGCAGTTAACTGAGATTGTTAAACAAGGAATCAAGTTACCCCAGACACTATCTATAGCCCTTCATGTCCACAGAGTACCTCTACCAAGGTCCAGGTTGCCCTTTAGACTAACTTAATCTTGTCAGTTAGACAAACTAATTCCATTTTCTCCAACTACCCTCTTTCACTTCCATACACCATGAAGAAATTCTTTCTTGTTATACTCACGTTATTCATACTATCCTACTCTTACCAGCTTCTTTTTTGCTTTAAATACCAGATATAATTCTTAGTTTGAGTTTATTCTCCACCTAATGAATGTCCCGGTTTTATTCTTCTTTATTTAGAAAAAGGGGTAGACAAAGGATACTATACCGTAGGAGCCAGACTGATCCGGCTAGAGGATAAGGTAAGTACATGAAAGCTTTTTTTTCTTCTGAGTAATGATATCTGATCTACAGACATGCAAGATAGTATCTTGGCATGATTTACTTTAGAATTACGGGGCACCATAATAAAGAATAATATCCTAATTTTTGTAAGACATTTGATGAATTATCATGTGCATGTTGTTCAGGATTAACCATTTACCTGCCATACAGATTTCATTCTTGATTTTAAAAGGGACTGCTTTCATGTTGAAGCCAATCACATGTCTTAAATATAAGTACTTTGAACTGACAAGGTGTTTGTCACACAAGAATTAACGAGTTAGAAAGACGTATTAGGAGTCTTTGTAAATAGCAACAGTTGATATCTCAGTTAATAATCTTGAGGTTCTTTAACATTTAACATACTGCTTTTTTCCCCCCATACAGTTATCTTTGCATCAACTCTGCCCTTCCCCCACTGTCATCTCTTTAAGAATATGTTCATCTTTGTTGCTAGTAAGAGTTATAGAAGTATGTCTAAAGGCCAAAGCTCAGTGAGGCTCTCTTGTTTTAGACCTGTTCCAAATATCCTCAAGAGCTTTTCCCACTTAAGCAATAACAAAAATACAAGTTTGCTTAAAACTAGGAATCTATTTCTCTAACAGTCTTTTAGTCAGCTCTCTTACCTACCCCAAAAAACTGGTGCCCCTAGAACAGTGTACTTTCTGTGGACAGCAGCAGTGCAATAGCTTTGATATGCAGTATGTATGGTGTAAGACCTGGGACAAAAGTTAATTGGAATTTAGCATAGTCATTGCCTATTTGTGTCTTTGTCTTACTCAAATTTGTCATGCAAATATTCTTTTCACTTTTTTCTGGGGAAGTGAGGTGAGAAGGAAAGAGGAAAGAAACTTTTCATTATTCTTCAGAAGAACTGAATTTGAAATTAAGCAAATACAAGTCCTCTCTCTCTTGCCTAATATCTAATGATGATTGCTAGGACAACATTGGAAATACCTGATGCTGTGATGTTGAAGGATAGATTTTCTTTGACTTTTAGCTTTCTTGGACAGGGTCAGAGAATCAGCTTCACAGATAAAGACTGATTACCCAAGTTAGCTTTTAAAGTGCATTGTTCCCTTATGCTGGCACACTCATTCAAAGTGAAAATGGCTTTCATCCAGATTACCTTAATTCACTTCAAAAGAGATATATTGCTCTCTAGCCTTGGTATGTCCTATAAATTCATACCACTAGTTCATTCTGATTCTTGAATATGCATATATAGAGAAACTCACAATATACATTTGAAAATTTAGCAATAAAAATAACTGTGATAACAGTTAGACTACTCTGTGTGAGAAATACTGCTATATTGTAAATACTTCTGGAAGCAGTTCATGGTCTCCTGGCTGCTCCATATTTATGAAGAAGAGAGGTCAGAAAGTTATTAATGTGTCTGCCACTGGTCCAGCTTCAGCACAATGTGCTGTGAATTTGATAACTTTATTTCAAAGCCTTAATTACAGTACTGCAGACATATCTTGGTGTAAAAGGAACATTACAGGAGATGCCAATGTATGCAGTAAATTCTGCAGTGAATGATGTCTGTTGCAGATATCTGCTTATGCTCTGCCTTTACATCTTAAACCTGCAAGGAAACTGAACTCTAGCTGAATCAAAAAGGTCATCATTTTCATCAATACTGCTTCATTGTAGATGCTTAGAGATGATGAAGCCACATGGCTTCACCTTCTCGTGTTAAATGTCTGTTCTAAGCATACGGTAATCAGTCTGTACCAGGGATTCACAGCAATGTTCTTGGAACAAGAGTCATACAAGTTAAAAATCCCCCAATGGTACAGCCATCTTAACTTCATTTAAATGTGATCTAAATATACTTGGTGCAAGCTCGAACTGTTAGTGTTGTCAAGACCTGGCCGCTATTTTGTTTGAAGAATTAAACTGCAGTGCTTTAACTGACCACATGTTGTATGGGAACTAGTGATTTCTATCTCTCTACTTACTGTTCCGGAGAAAACAAATATAAGGGAATAAAGATATTTTCTTAAGATGACTTTATACAAGACATTCAATCATTGCAGCTTCCTTTTTGTTCTCATACCAAGCTACAAATGTAACATAAAATGCCAGAGTCTGATGAAACCCAGGGCATTTGTTCTTTCAGCACAAATTAACCTTCTTTTTTGTGTACAGGGCTTCATTCTTATATTTCTGCTAAGAAAGAAGACACAGTGCACAAAAAGGGCAAACTGTTGTTGTTGGTTTTTTTGGGTTTTGGTGGTGTGGGTTTGTTTTGTTTTTTGTTGGTTGGTTTTTTGGGGTTTTTTTTTATTTGCATCTTTTTGGCATATTAGGCTAAAACACATACATATGTTTACATAGTGAAAACAAAGTTAAGCTTCCCAGATATCTCTATTTTAATAGGACAATAGAAACGACTGCATCCTGCTGTCAAACAGCTTCCCCTAAACTATTTTCCCATGTCTCATGGGCTCTCCTGCTTTAATAGTTCACTGTGTAGTAGCTGCTATGTTCCTAAATGTGAAACAATATTGGAGTCAGGAAGGACAAGCTGGGTTTCAACCTCTGAGAAGAATAAATGAAACAAGGGCATGTCTGACATCAGGCTCCAGCTGGTGGTGAAAAATGATCTGCCCCTTGGAACTAGAAAACCTTTGGGATCAGCTTCTTCTCCCTGGAGAAATTATTTTAACATTCAGTCACCCAGTATATTCATGGCAGCCTCCCAACCAAGTGACACATCTGATAACATGACACATTTTTGGACAAAAGCCAGTTGGTGTAAACTGATGGAAATGCAGTGCGGATCTGACTGTTTCATCTGCTTAAAAAGTCTGTATCAATAAGCTATTACTACACCTCTAGCCCAGACTGATCTTTCCCATCAGTATTTTCCAGTTCATTTGTTTTAGTTGTTTCTCCAAAAGGGAATCAGAATGTAATTTACCAATTCAGAGCTGTGCGTTGCTCTGCATAAAACCATAGTTACTCTTTTTATAAATTGAGAGAGAGAAGCGTACATTTCTGATGGTTAAGATGAACTTAATTCCATTGAGAGGTTTCTTACTATTTGAGTTAAATTGTGGGGTTTTCTATGTAGAAGAGCATAGACACAGACCTCTGCAGTGGTTGCTTAGTGATAGATAAAAGCTTTGAGGCAAAAATGTTTCAAAGATTCAAAGATAACAGCCTTCCATTCATGTGGCATGAGCAGCTTTGCTTGCAGCTTCTCTTTAGTGACCCTCCAGGCTCTGTATGTAAGTTTAAGGTAATGGGAAGAACAAATTTGTGTAGGATGAAGCATCATGCGAGTCCAGCATAAAGCAGAGTTGAAATACACTTGTATCTCTTTGTTTTTAAGCATTGCAAAACTGAATAAAAAGGGATAAAATACATGGTGGCAATTTCCAGACAATATGTAAAACCCTTTTTGGCAACATCAGTCCTGTGTAAAGCTTTATTCCTTTCACTAACATGGCATGCCACATAGCGCAAGTTTACCCAATATGCTTTTCAACCTGCTTTTCCCTGAGTAGGGTATAAAAATCTTGTTTTGTTGTGGTCAGCGTAATAACCTAATGTGGTTCTTTTCATAAAAACACTGAGATGTGTAGAGAAAGAATGGGGCTTCTTTCCCAACACGTGATGTATGCCATTTGGCTGACCTTTCCTGTAGTTTGATGGCAGGGTTTAATTTTAAATTGCGGTATGTAGCCATTGACAGGTTCTTTTGAAATGTATTAAGAGGGAGATTGGTTCCAAGATGATGTTCTAGAGCTGGCATTAGTTTCTTTTCAAAATTGTAAACTAATGCTTCTTTATGATGAAATGAGTATTCTTTCTTTTTATTTTCTTTTCAAAATTAGAAACAAAAATCATGGTGTGCTATGTCAAACTGCACGGCAACCTATAAATAAAAACAGGAGAGAAAAGAATCTACAAATGAAAGGTTAGAAGGGACAGCTGTGTTGTCTTTGAAAAAGAAATCTATTAGGTATTTTTATAATTATATAGCAGTCTTCTTTATGTGGTATATACATTTATGATTTACGTCCATACTACCATAACTATTTCCATACTTAAAGACAACATGTGATAATGCTGGGAGCCAAAAGCAGCCATTTGGTAGCATTTAAAAAATGCAGAAACGCTAAGAGAAAAGAGGGCAGTAAAGCAGAACCCTTCTGAGCTTTATCCCTCTGAGTAATGCAAACCAGAACAAAAGCATTGTCCAATATAAACAAATGTAGAGATTGGATTGTGGTGGTAAACTCTCTCTTTACCAATTTAAACACTCATTTTAAAGTTGGGAGCTAAAAAGATGGGCTCAGAGAAGAGTGGTGTTGCCCTGCCGTCTTACTCCTGAGAAACAATGGAGAGATGGATGTTAGTGAATCTGACTTGTACAGTGATTATATCATATGGCATTAAATAGTAAACTATTTATCATGACACTGCCTGCAAGAAGCACCATAGTGAAGGTCCTGTCAGAATTTCCATTATAAACCCCTAATTTGTGGGTGGAGTGATGAGCATAACTGAACTGCATTAAAAAAAAAAAAAAAGGAAAAAGCTGAAAATTGGTGCAGAATGAGTCAGTTGCAAGATGAGTGTGCTACATTTTTGAGGTTTCAAGAATATGTCCGAAAGAAACCCAACAAATGTGTTCGTTTGTTGACAAAATGTATCTTGGCACTAAGGTGTTTGTGAGTTGTTTTCCCCCAGTTCCTTAAAGATTGAGTCATTCCATACTATAAAGCTTTTCAGAAGACTTTCTGAAAATGGGCATTATGTGGATTTTCTTAGCTATTAGTACAGGCTGATAGTTCTTAAAAGTAGATATCCGAGTTGCATTGCCATTCCTTCTTGTAAACAGAAAATACATTTCATCCTGGCCCTCTATGTTTTGCAAACATGCATGAATACTCATGATTTTTGGATTATCTCTTCTCAACACAAACGTGTGTGAGTTAATAATTAATACAACTAATGT